CTCTTTTTTGCTGAGGAAGACTGGCCCTGGGCTAACATCCATGCCCATCTTCCTCTATTTTATATGGGACGCCGCCACAGCATGGCTTAACAAGCAGTGCATCGGTGTGCACCCGGGATCCGAACCGGCGAACCCCAGGCCGCAGCAGTGGAACGTGCGCACTTAACCGCTTGTGCCACCGGGCTGGCCCTGAGCAGTTTTTAGATTAATATTTTTATCATTTCATTTTTTTCTATTTGTCTTGTTAATTATATGTTATTTTGTTACTCTTTTTAGTGGCCATACCGGAGACTACAATGAGAATTCTTGACTGATTAAAGTCTAAAATAAATTACTTTTACTGTCACCAAGAAGATGCAGGGATTTTAGGACATTTTAGCTGATTTTACCTTTCTCATATTTTATCCTATTATTGTCATTTATTTTGATTCAACCTATATTTTGAACCCCATTAGGCATTATTATTATTATTGTTATCTTATATCTTCAAAATTTATCCAGGTTTACCCACATATGTGCTCTTTCTTTAGCTCTTCATTTCTGTGTATAATCCTGGTTTCTATCTTGGATACACATTTTTTTTGTGTGTGAGGAAATCAGCCCTGTGCTAACATCTGCCAATCTTCCTCTTTTTTTTTTTTGCTGAGGAAGACTGGCCCTGGGCTAACTTCCGTGCCCATCTTCCTCCACTTTATATGGGACGCCACCACAGCATGGCTCACCAAGCAGTGTGTCGGTGCGTGCCGGGGATACGAACCGGCGAAACCCAGGCCGCTGCAGCGGAGCACATGCATTTAACTGCTTGCGCCACAGGGCTGGCCCCTTGGATATACTTTTGCTCTTCCTGAACAACTCCTTTTACTAGTTCCCTTAGTTTATGCAGGTTACAAATTATAATTTTGTCTGAAAATGTTATTTTTGTCTTCAAGATAATTACGATATTCATTGGATAGAGAATTCTAAGTTGGCAGTGATTTCTTTCATCATTTTGAAGATGTTCTTTCATTTCCTTGGGGTTCCATTGTTATTTTTAAGTTTGTCTTTACTCTCATTATTGTTCATTTAAAAGTAATTTTTCCCCCTCAAACTGATTTTAAGATTTTTTGTTTTTGTTTTTGGTTTTCAGAAATTTTTCTATGATGTCTCTAGGTGTAGATTTTCTTTATTTCTGTCCTGTTTGGAGTTCATAGTGCTTCTTGAGTCTATGTCTTTTTAAAATTATATAATTTTTTCATTTATTACATCTTTAAATATTGCTTCTGCCTAGTTCTTTCTCTTCTCTCTTTCTAGGACACAAATTATGGGCATGTTAGACCTTTTCCCTGTGTCTTGTATGTCTTCTGTGTGCTTTTATGTAATTTTTATCCTTTTTTTCCTCCTCTATTTTTCAATCTGATATTTTCTCCTGACCTATTCTAGTTCTCATCTTTTGAGTCTCATCTGCTATTAATCTTTATCAATTGAGTATTTAATTTTAGTATTTTTACTTTTTGGTTTCAGAATTTCTATTTGATTTTAAAAAGATAGATTCCAGTATAAGATATAAAATTCTCTATATTTCATCTTATTTCTTCAAACTATTAATCACAATTTTTTTTTTTTTTGGTAGGGAAGATTGGCCCTGAGCTAACATCTGTTGCCAATCTTCTTCTTTCTTTGCTTGAGGAAGATTAGCCCTGAGCTCACATCTGTTTCAGTCTTTCTCTATTTTCTATGTGGGCTGCTGTCACAGTGTGGCTTGACGAATGGTGTAGGTCCACACCCAGGACCCGAACCTGCAAACCCTGGGCCGCCGAAGTGGAGCACGTCAGGCTTAACCTCTATGCTATGGGGCTGGCCCCCTAGTTGTTTTAAAGTCCCTCAATTCTGTATCTCCTTGTGCATCTGTTTCTATTTTCTGTTTATTTTCATGGTTTTGGTTATTTAGTTTTATCTTCTGACATGCCTGTTACTATTTATTGAAATTTGGACAGTGTGTATAAAAGATTCGAGAGCTTATTTGCTGGTCTGGATAGTGTTATCATCCTTTGAAGATTACTTTGCTTGCAGTAGCCGGGAGGCTGTTATGATGGTGGAGAATCCCCTAATCTGTTTAATAATTATCTAATTACCTAACTAATTTAGTTGATTTGAAATTGGGCTTCAACCTTGTGATGGCACAGCATTCTAGTTCCTATCCTCTCCTAAGGTGCAGCCCTGCAGGGGTCCCCCCTGAAGGCTTGGGGTGACTGGAAGGGCACCACCTCCTTGGTGATCCCTGGGCTCTAATTTTGCCCCCCACACCAGGTGTCCTTCACTTCTGAGCTTCCTAGCTCGGAATTGAGCCCCTTTTCTGCTTAACTTCTCTGCCTCTCAGTGGCCCGTTAGAAATCAGCAGTACCTTGACTAAAAAAGAGAGCTGCAAATCAGACTCACCTTTGCACTTCCCTTCTCCTGAGGATTTTATTTCTTCAGGTTCTTATTCCTTGCCAGCTTTCTAAAGCCTTTAAATCAATAGGTTTTACATTTGATTCTTTTTTTTCAGTTGTTCTCAGAAGGTGAGTTTGTCTGTAACAGTCTTCTCTACCATTACTAAAATTTGAAATTCCTCCAGCATGAGTTATTTTGAAGCATATGACATTTTTACTCCTATAACATAAAGAATGCACACCTGCTGAAATTGAAGACTTTCCAGATGTAGAGTCCTTCTTTTGAAACTAAAAAAAAAAACGAAGTCAGGTGCAATTATAACATTATGTTTGGATTGAGAAATTGGAACAATAAGAAACCAGAACTGCAAAATTTTTGCCTAGAATATTAATCTTTCAACATTGTAAAGGAGACCAGAAATCATCAGAAATTACCAATAATACCAATAATTCTAATTAGGACATTTAAAGTACAGAGAACCCAGGGATGATACCAGTTTGATGCTCTCATAATTTTTTTAAATGCAGAAATATCAAATTAGAGTTTAAAAATTGGAGCATATTTAAAATGCTGATTTTTAATAAATTAGCATTTTTAATTCACATATTTCTCTACAACATTATTATATGATTTACAAGATTATAATATTTATAAAATATCAATTTATAGTATTGCATAAAATGGTAGGCAAGTTAGAGCAGTTTAAGGAACTTATTTTTCTTTTAATACTTGCAGTGTATCTCTATGACTATGTGTATAGCTTCTTTTGGAGATAATGTTAAGAGTCTAAAAAGTGAGGCTATGGGAGCTGGCCCCGTGGTGTAGTGGTTAGGTTCAGTGTGTTCTGCTTCGGCGGCCTGCGTTTGTGGGTTTGGATCCTGGGTGTGGACCTACACCACTCGTCAGCCATGCTGTGGCAGCAACCCACATATAAAGTAGAACAGGATTGGCATGGATGTTAGCTCAGGGCTAATCTTTGTCAGCAAGAAAAAAAAAAAAGTGAAGCTGTGGACAAATGCACTCCCCTCTTCTTCCACTCTAAGAGACTCTGGTTTAAATATCCTCTTTCTTAACTAATTAAGGGAGCTGATTATGGTGTCATATTGTAGTCAAGATTATATGTCAGTGACAGAGCTAATCACCAAAATACATTATAGGAATAGTAGTACCAGGTCCCCAGTGGAGTGCAGAACAACTCTGAAAATTTTCTAAGAGAAAATATTATATATATATATATATTCTTTTGCCCTAAACACAGCATACAGTTTATCTCCCCTTTTTGTTTTTGATAATATCACTGTCTTTTTTCTCCATTCTCTACAAAAGTTTGTTTGAATGAATTTTTTTTAAATGGACTTGTAGTCATAAAACCTTAATTAATATTCCCTGACAGTTGGCCTTCCTACAATTTTGCAACTTGGACTGTTTATCTTTAAGAGCTTGGTTTTTCAATGCTGGTGTGTTTGAAATGGGTTTGAGGTTTTGTGGTTTCTGTTGATGCTCTGCGGAACTTAGAACCCTTCAGCTTCCTTTTGTTTGGTGAACCGGCCAGGCCTTGTGAGCGTAAACAGACCGTAGAAGTACCCAAGCGGCGTTGGTATTAGAAGAGAATCCTCTTTGGAAGTCAGACAGGTGGCCCATCTCTGCAGCAATCTCGGAGAACTCTGGATTTTCTAGGTAAGTGCGGAAGACCTGGGGTGGGGGGCACAAGAATGAAAGTTATGCATAAAAAGAGCGTGTCGAATTTGCCAATGTAGCTCTAAGTTAGAATCCTCAGTCTTACTGTAAAAAACAAGTTTATATACTCTGACCACAACTGCTCCCTTATACACAGAATTGTTTAATTATTCCTGTATAGTACACACCACTCTGAAGGTGACACCCAGTTTTTATCAGTGGTTAAATATGGATAAAATGGTTTCAGAAACTGTCAAAAAGGAAAAAAGGGACTCTGGCTAAAAACATCACAGAGGTCTTTAGGTATTGCATTTATGTATTATTCAAGTGCTTAAAGTGGTTTTATTTTTTTTTCCATTATGAAAATCTTTAAATTCTATTACTGGGAATATAATCATATATAGTTTGAAACCTTTCTGGTAGCCCTAATCAACAGATGAAAACAATCAATAGTAATCAGGTACACTGAAATTTCTAAGAGAAGTATATTCAAAATAACACATATAACAATGGTTATTGTAATTCTTTTCATTCCATTTTTGCACTATCACATGACAGGAGGAATTGGAAAACATCTTTAAAAATCACATAACTAAAATTTAAGAACAACATCTATTCAAATATTTTTACATTAAGTTCCTTCTATACCATTATTTCCTTTTTACAAGAAGTACTGAATTTCAAATATGTGGAATGAAATATAATGCAAAGTTTAAAAAAAGTCAGTAATGCACAACATGAATGAGAGCTTAGTTTTGCTTCTTTAACAAATTTGTAATATAATTTTGGATGGGTCATTTAATTCTTTGGATTTCAACTTCCTACACAACTGCACAATTATTTATCTAAGAAATTGTTTATTAAGTACTCCAGGTTTACAACTCCTTGTCTTTTTTAATGTGTTTAAATCAATCAATTAGTCAATATTTTAATTGACAATTACACATTGGCTGAGTGATTTGGACAATATTTTCTAACCATTCTAGGCCAGGGGTTGGTAAATTTTTTCTATAAAGGACTAAATAGTAACTAGGTTAAGTTTGCAGGCCAAGAGGCAAAATTGAAGATAATATGCAGACACTTACATAACCATTTAAAATGTATACCATTTCAAAATATAAAGGCCATTCTTAGTTCACAGGCTGTATGAAAAAAAGAGAAGAGCCAGATTTGGCCCTAGGGCCGTAATTTTTCAACCCCTGTTCTAGGCAATGATTTTCAACAATTATAAAATGGAAGATGTAGGCTAGATCATGGGACCCCAAAGGAGTTCATGGATGATATTTAGGGTAATCCACCAATCCCCTAAAATTGTATACCAAAATCTGTGTATGTAAATATGTGCTTTTGTGTGTGTGTGTGTGTGTGTGTGTGTGTGTGTGTGTATGAGGAAGATCAGCCCTGAGCTAACATCTATGCTAATCCTCCTCTTTTTGCTGAGGAAGTCTGGCCTGAGCTAACACCATGCCCTTCTTCCTCCATTTTATGTGGGCCGCCGCCACAGTATGTCCTGACAAGCGGTACATCGGTGCGCACCCGGGATCTGAACCTGGGTCGCCAGCAGTAGAGCGTGCACACTTAACTGCTACGCCACGGGCCGGCCCCTAAATATGTGCTTTTTTAATGGGAAAAAAGTCCACGAATTTCATCGGATTTTCAAAGTGATCCAAAAGCCAATTAAGATTATGGACCACAGGACTAGCTGATTTTTAAAAATGCTTTCCAATTCTAAAATTCAATGGATCTATGAAATCCTTATTGAGTGTCTACTCTGTACAAGCCACTGTGCCAGCACTCTAAGAGATCTTAGCACACTATGACTAAAATAACGTGTCAAAAATATTTTAAAGAAGATTGGAATATGAGCACATCAGTGATATTCTTCAAAGTAACAACCATGAGAAAAATTCCATAATTGGTCAAACATTTCTGAGATATTACTTTGTAAAGTGTCTTCAAATCTAGTATGAGTTATGTCAAAATATTGATCAAATATTCTTATTGTTCCATCTTGTTTTTGATGACAATGGTATTATTCACGACAATCATAATCAAACTTAATCCAAATAGAGTCTCTTTCCTAAAAATATGATTTCTCTAAGGGCAGAAACTATGCTTTTTTCATCTTTGCATTCTGGAATAGTATTTTTCGCATACTGAGTGCGCAACATCTTTGGAATGGATATATGAATGAACGAGAAGATGAAGACACCACCATTGAGATTATGTGCCGTAGATACTGAAAGGCTTAGAACCCAAAATTCTCTAGAAACAGTAGTTGCTAAGTCCAAAGATTGCTTCTCTTTGCAACTTTGGATGTAACTGTGATTTCAACATACTTGGTCAACTGAAGATTGCAGTTCCTGGGGATTAAGTCATTTTTAAAAAAATAGTAAATTTTGTTTAACGTAATGCACATAGGAGAGAAAAATACTTCTTACAGATTTTCTGGTCCCCTAGTCTCTGGGTTGGGGTGACTGGAGAGTGAAGTTTTGGGCAGCAGCACTCTCAGTGTCTGAGCCCTTCCTGCTCTGAGATCAGGTAGGCCGTTGTACCGGTTGGAGCACTAAGCATCAATGGTAGGTTTTCCCGGGCAGTGCAAAAGTCAGATCTAACAGAACTAGGGTACAACTCTGCTCCCTGATAAAGAAGTTCAGCCTGACCTCCAATTGAGGATGCCAAATTCTGAGCACCATTTGCCAGAGAGTGCTCACAGCTGCATGGGGATAGGGAATGACTTGTGATCCAAATGTACCTCTCTTCTCTCTCTAGGAATAACTTCATTTTCTGAAAGAGAAATTCAGTCTACCATAGCTGGCTTATGGTTCATTCACTTCTCTAGGGAAATTTAAATCTTAAGATTTAAAAAAATTAAGAAATGTTAATGAAAAGCCTGCACAGCTCTGTATATATCTGGTGTTATGCCTGAAACATCCTTATTTAAAAGAGTGCAACCCAGCTCCACCTTGACTCCCTCTCCACCTCAGAAGCTATTAGGGAAATATGCTATTCTCTTTGGGATGTAATTATAGAGTGTGCCTGTGTAGTATCACTCCGCATTAAATAGCACCATTTGTTCAACCGTTTAGAGGTTGTGCTGAGGTCATATTCCTGGATCTCCTTAGGGATTGAGATTAGTCCCAGACATAATCTAAAGACCAAAGCCTTCACAAGTGGAACCTCAAATATGTAACCCAATTATGTTTATGGTCCAAGGTCTCACTTAAGTGATGGCAGGAAGCTCAGTGCCCTCCCAAAGGATTTCTGAGACTCCGCCCGTGCAGGGCTTACATGTTCTACAAATCCGAGACAGTGGGTGCCCCTCACTCTGACTGCTGCCCTCAGACCTATCTGCAGATCACCTCTGCACCTCTCTCGTCAGCTGTCGTCCCTAAGGTAGACAGGGCCCCTCTGGTTCCCTTTTAAACACAACTAACTTGAATTTGTAAAACTTTTTTTGGGCAAACGTTTTCTTAAAGGACCAGATAATCAATATTTTGGGTTTTGTGGCATGAATCTCAGTTGTAACTATTCAACTCTACAGTGATAGTGTGACAGCAGCCATAGATAACAGATAAACGAATAGGTGTTGCTGTGATCAGATAAAAACTTCATTTACAAAAACAAGTGGCTGGTTCATGGGCAGTAATGTAGTTTGTTGGCCAGTGAACTATATTGAAGGCTTGACGACAACTTAAAAAGTTACAGTGTTGTAGAGGGAAACGGAAAACTCAAAGTTAAAGATCACCTACTAGGGGCATCAGTACTTCTTCCTGGAGGTTCCTATCAGCCACCTCTCAATCGCCTTGGTTTGAGGCCATTCTGTTGGGGCTTATTCATCATTCCTGGGCAGAGGTCTTCTCTCCTCCTTACCTTCACATCCACAGATTTTGGTTTCCCTCTTGCTATGTTAAGCCCCAGTTAGGGGATGTCAAAAATAATTTCATATCATCATCTTCTCTGAAGAGCAAGGCCCACTGAACAGAAATGTGATCCATCTAGGTCAGAAGCATATTCAATACTCACAGTGGCGCTTACCTTCCATTTATACTATGAAACGGCTCACCAAAATTATCCTTTCTTGACTAAAGGAATGGTGTGCCCTAAAGACAAATTGTTTTTCTGTTCCTTTTTTTTAATTTTGGTAAAGTATACATAACATAAAATTTACCATTTTAACCATTTTTAAGTGCACAATTCAGTGGTATTAAGTACATTCACATTATTGTGTAACCATCACCACTATCCATCTCCAGAACTTTTTCCTCATCCCAAACTGAAACTCTGTACCCCTTAAACAATAACTCATTCCTCCTTACTCCAGCATTAACCACCATTCTACTTTCTGTCTCTTTAAATTTGACTATTTGGGTCTTTCACAGAAACAGAATCATATCTGTTCTATTGTGTAAAGACAAATTCTTGCTTCTATTCTTAGAGTCACATGAAAAAATAAATTGCTTGTCTATTCTGGCTTCCAGCTATCTCTGGCTTGGAAATATTGGGGTCTAGTCTGAGAACACCTGACTGTCTACCTTTCTTTAATTATCTCCCACTATTCTCCAACCTGTTTTCCCTGTATAAATTGTTAAGACATCTCATCTTTCCCCAAATGCACACCGCACATTATCTTCTTTGGGGTATTGGGATCCAAGCCTAGAATGCTACCACCTCATTTTCCTCTGTGGTCATTAGACCCAGCACAGTGACCACGTCGGAGGGGCTTCACTGATACTGACAGATGGAATCGTTCTCTCTCTGTGTCGCTTCGTGTGTTGGAAAAACCACCCAGTTTTTGGCTCCTATATATGTCTCCTTTACTACTCACACAGAACACTTTTGACACTTCTGGTCACCAATTGTGTGGAGGTCTGTCCTCCCCCATCCTCCCACCCCCCTCTCCTCCCACACCAAGCAATTCTCCAGGACATGAGCTGGGTGTCTTACAATTTAATTCAATTCTGGCACTATCTACCTGGAAATTGTATCAGATCCTATAG